CTACATGAAAACAGTGGCATTGTTTTCCTGCTTGATGATTCACAACCGACGGCGTTCACACCAGGAAACTGACTCTTCTCCTGTCAGCGTTTGAATGACGCTCGCTGACCTTCACATTACAGCCGCCGTTTGGTGAACGGAAACATGTCGAGCATTTCCATCTTTCATCTGCATTCTCCTCCTCCTCCTTATCTCATGCTGATTATCCTCCCAGTGAGGTGACGTAAGGTTCCTCCGAGAAACGCTAACTTTGCGAACATTTAACACCGTTTCGGAGCAAAACAATATATTTACCTCAGAGCTCTGTTTCTAATTAATCATCAGTATTTTATATTAGAGCTGTGAGAATTGTGCAAAGTCTCTAAGAATGGAATGAGAGGATAAACGCTCTGGGCGTGGCCCTCCTTAAGCTCCTCTGACTAAGAATGCTGATTTAAAATAAGCTCTCTCTTTCAGACAGTCATGACTCATTTGGTTCTGGAGGAGATTTTAGGCTTTCTCATTTAATGATAATGGCTCATCCATAAGACAGCGCGCCGGTGGCCAAATCTCCCGAGCTGACGGGGCTACGAGATGATGACAGCGAGTTCTGGGTGGTGGACAGATTCAGGAGCAGCTTTATTGGTTTCCCCACGATGGAAATTGTGGTCAAAAGGTGCACAAACGCAGTTTTTTTCTTTAACATTTTGAGAACTAAATTTAAGAAGACGGGTGAGTATCGCTCCGGTTTGGACGGCGGTATGCATTATTCAGATCACACCATCGAGATACCCTCCATTACTGCTAAAACGTCTGCCTTGTACGTTTAATTTGGTCTAAGTCAAGCTTTTTTTTTAGTTCCTGGAAAACTGACATATCAAGTAAAGCTCATTACCTGTCAGTTAAATTCAGAAACATAAAAAAAAGCAATAGTTGCTTCTCAAATGTCGCTAAAAATCTAAAAATTACACAGAAATGAAGCTGTTAACGTGGTGTTTGTTCATGCAGGAGCTGACGTTGTCCATGGACAACACGCACAACTTCCCACCTCGCTCTTCTTTCACTTTACTCCTGGCTGTTATGTCAAACTGTTTGCTGCCAGGAAACTTCAGAACTCAACCTCTTCCTATGATCCGCTTTGTGCAACAGAAACCGCTCTGACCGAGAACTGTTCTTGGCTTAAGCAAACGCTGCTGCTTCTAACCTGAGACGTGGATAACCTGACTGCCTCCACATGATGGATGTTGGGAACAAGAAACTCCTCATACATTATAAAGGTTGCACCCCTCAGCTGTGTTACAATTAAAAATGCCATTTGGTTCGTTTGTCAGAGGGCTGAGCCTGAAATGACACTTCTGAGCTGCGCCGATGTGATTCATCCCGACGTCCTCTTTTATGATCGTCTTTGATGTCTCCTGCCGCCCAGCTGGGTTTTCTGTGGCAATATTTATGTTTCATCTATTTTTTTTAATGACTCCACTGATGCCATTGTTTTGGAGATTATTTTTCATCCATCAATCTGTTTTTTTTCAGCTGCAAACATAAAGCCTCCACAAAAAAGTTATGGAGCCGATGATGTGCTGTTTGCTGGCAGAGGGTCAGTTCACGCCATCTGGCAGCAGCTCTTTCTTTCTTTGGGGCTAGAAAACTAAAAGAAGGAGGTGGAATCTGATGTCCATCACGCCTCTGTTTCACTGTTCTGATGAAAGTGTGCAAAAGCCAGTCCATGCAGTCTGTTTGTTTGCTCCCTCTCACTCCCCCACTGCAGCGCCGTAGACAACAGCCAGCACCTGAGACCATGAATCTCTGTAAATGACAATTCTGGAGAAACAGTATTTACAGTTAAGCCCTCGGCAGCATCCAAATTCCTGTCAGAGAACGGAGGGATTGAAGTTTTTAATTAATCTGAACGCCAGCGTCCCCGAGGACACACACCCTCCCGCTCGTGCACAAACCCACACGATGCGGCGGGAACGTTTTCGGGGGCGACGGGCGGCGAGTGGAGCGGCGACATCATCAGCGTTTTGCGTAAATGTCTCTCTGAGACACTCTGTCAAAATAAAAGTGTCTGAGGAACGGGACGGGGCTGTTGTGCCCGTTGGAAAGTGGAAGTGAAGGACCATGCATTCACATTTACATCGTCCTAATCACCATCTGCACTTTACTCCTCCAGCACCAGAGTGTTTGTGCTAATCTACAGCAGCAGCTTCCTTTTCAGAACGTCACGACAGCGTGCATCTCTGTTACTACCAGTGCTTCATTGTGTTGAACTGCTCTGTTTAGTTTTACTATGCTTTTAGCTTCACTTGACCCTCTGAACTCCAAATCCCACTGGAAGGTCTGAAAGGCATGTTATCTTTCTTTTTTTTTTTTAAATCACCAAACTCACACCATTCATCTGAGCGAGAAATTGCAAAATTGTAAAACTGCAGAAACTGTCTAAATTTGTGGCGTTTCATCAAAATCACTTTATTCTGCAGGTGTCTGGTAAAAACAAACCATTTGCACTGATCGGATTCTGTAGAAAACTAAACGTTCTCTGCTCCTCTGCACGACTGTGAAGCCATCAGTGACTCGGCTGCACAACAACAGTCACGTGGCAGAAGTTCAGGGACTTTTCGGCTGAACTGCAGGCAGTGTGGACACAGAACAGAACGGAGACCAGTACAGAAACTAATTAAACATAAAAATAGTAAATTATTTACAGTTTGCAGAGCTGCCAGACCCGTAGGCAAAAATGTTGTGTATGTTAATTCATTTATTTTTCAAGCTTTTGAAATAAATAATCAAAGAATAATCATCATTTCTTTCTCGAGTTGTGAGCTGTGAACGAGGCGAAGGTTTAATCTGGTACCAGGTTTTCTGACGCTCTTTCAATTCTCTTTTTCGTCCTTTGAGCACAATGCAAACGTGTCGGGATGAAATGCTGCACGCCACGGGGGCAGAAACCAAATCAGTGTTTGTTCACGTATCGCCGTAAAAATCTGCTCTTAATCAAACACGTGCATCAAAGCAGGTGGACTGAAAAGCTACCAGCGAAGTGATGAGAGGGAGGATGCGTGTTGGCCCTCAGGTTCCAGGCAGAACGCACCATTCAGCATGATTCAACCTCACAGCGGCCTTGATGTAATCCTCCCTTCGGCTCGACTCGCAGCAGAAAGCGTTTGCCACTGATTGTGCATTTCTGATGTGCATCCACACGTACATGTGACGCGCATGTGTTTGTCGGTAATAAACGCCGTTGCGGTCCAATCTGTTAGCCTGCCACGTGCCTGTGAGTACGTTTTGAAACGCGGCGACTCGCTAACGTGTTGGCGAGTTAACTTTCCAGCGGGCCGGGATGCAAAATGAACTATTTCCCTCACAGCCTGCAATAAGCTGTTTTTGGCCATAAAACTAATGTAGCAGTCACAGACATTGACTGCCCTCTAAAATGGAAATTCGTAAGCCAAAACGGCACAGTGGGAATATCAAAACATGACATATCCTCGGCTTCCTTCAGCCCTCCCCACTGCCTACCGTCTCCTGCCACCTCCCCAGTCCGGCCGACCAGCTCCCCTCCTGAGGTTTTTCAACACAGAAGCACATCTGCTGTGGAAACTCTTCTGAAGGACACGTCAACCCTCCCTGACACAGCTGACTAGGCAGGCGGACGGACGGACGGACGGACTGACACTCCTCCCAGACGGTCCCCAGGGAACCAACATCTACAACTGACTTTAACAGATCCAAGAGAATTGTGTTAAACTCTACTTCACCGTTATTAATACAAACGACAAGACTGCAAACGGTTTTGGTTTTGGTTCGGCCCGTGTGTGGTTTGGATCATCAGCAGTCGGGATGTAACGTGAACCGACGGCAGGAAACCGCTCCAACATGTGGTTTTATGGTTATAAGCCGACAGACGATATTCGATAACTCTCGACTGGAACGTAAAAGCATTAACAAAACGGGCAAACGTCGGCTCGTGCCCAGTTTCAGCTGTTTCTGAATGTGTTGTCCACGAATCAGAACAAAGAAGGGTTTAAAATATGAAAAGAAAACAGATGCACCAAGAAAAAAAAAAAAGTTAAACGGTGAAAAACCTGGGGATGTTTAAAACTGAAAACTGAAAATATTGTAAATAATTTTAGCAGATTTAAATTAAGCAAAACTGTGTAATTGTACTGCCACATGTTGTAAAAGAACACAGTTCTATTTGTAAAAATGCTGATTTTTATTTATTTTATTTTTTTATGTGGACATTATGTGCAGCTTTGGAGTTTTTGAGCATTAAAATGAATATAATTTTTTTGTAATTTTACTGGATATCATCTGTAATTTACTAAAACAAGGAAAATTTGTAAAATACCAGTAAAAAAACCAAAAACTTATATTAATAATTTTTCAGGCCTATCTGCAAAATAATTTTTGGCTGATTTAAATACAACTAAAGTTGTCTTTTTTCCTATTTTTTAGGAAAGGGCTAGGCGGTATATGAACACTTTTTTCTGTAATTTTACTAGATAAATACTTATATTTATACTTATACTTAGAAAAATACTTATATTTTCTTAGTCCTTCATAGACAGATTTTTCTTTCAAATGCTGGCAAATATTTGTAAAATAACTACATGTTTTGCTGATTTAAATATAGTTAATTTTACTGTCAAAAAGTGTAGAGTTTTGATTTGGTGTTTGATGTGTATGTATAATTTTAATTTTGCTTGTTATTATCTGCAATTTGACAATAAAATAGCAGCAAATTGTTCAAAAACTTGCAGTTAAAAGTAAGTAAGTATTTTCGCGACACTTCCCTGAACAAGCAAAGTCCTAGAGGATAAATCATGAGCCAGCTTGTTGAGAAAGCAGTAATTGTGCAAGAAATATTACAGAAATGTTTTGTTTTTTCTTCTACGTTTCTGGCCTGACTCACACCAAAGTTAAAAACCAGCTGCAGGTGATCAGCACAGAAGTTCACCTGCAGACACTGATAACATGGATTATGTGTCTCAGTAAAACAGTCATGCATGCTTCATTACCCAGTATGGCCCAATTGGGATGAGCTCTCCTGTTTCTACTGGGATCCTGCAGTTCCGTGGAGGAGGGGCTGCCTCGGCCCAGAGCGGGCTCTCTGCCCTGGGATACCCTGCCCTGGGCGCCCCCCCTGCCTGGAGCCGAGGTGGCAGAGCTGCTCCACGGTTCCCCACCCTCTGCAAGAGATGCGCTTCATTCAGGACCACCAACCAAACATCCATCAGGGGTCACCGGGGTTCACAAAAGGTCACAGGGAGGTCAAAAAAAGGGGGATACTCACAGGCCAAAGTGGGGGAAAAGGTGAGACAAGAACCGGAAAGAGAGCATTCAGATCATTCCGCTGACGGGCAAAAGTCACATTCTGGGTGTTTTCTAGGAAGGCAAAGGTGGCAGAAGGAGCACAGAGGAGCAAATGGTCTCATGATCCTAGGAGGAAGAGTTGTAGGACAGTTGAGTATGCTACAGAAGAGAATAAGGAAAGAGGAGTCGTAGCGCCACGGAGGGAGTATAGTTCTTATCTGCAGCAGACGTAGTGAAGAAGGAGCAGCTCTTTAATTCGAGGAAACCACAGGATGATGCTCTGTACCTGCTCAGCGCTACTGCAGCGAGAAAAAAAAAAAAAAAAGAGCAGAGCCCCTACGGTTTGGGTGCTGTTTACCTAAATTACACATTGACAAACTGTGGTGAGAGATCACTGTTAGCGCGCTTATGTGTGAAGAGAGTGTACACACAAGCACATCGATTGGACGGTCACGCTAGGCTCGCATGAAACAAGCCCAGAATAGAAGCATCCGAGGCTGCCTGGCAAATTGGGGGCACGCAGTTATAGATTTTTAGTTAGGAGGACGGCTGTGGATGAAACAAATGCAAATTTATGTATCAATGCCCTCATTTAACATCTCTGAGAGCAGAGACTGGCACAGAACAAGAGCTCAGCTGGGTGCTGTTTGTGTGTGCGACGGGCGCCGGCGGGCGCACGCAGTCTTGAACGCGTGTGGGTGCGCGCTCGGGGTTGCGTGTGTCTGTTTAAGGCCGTGTTTGCTTTTCAGGGATGCTGCTGCTCCGTGATCAAAAGGAGAGGCACAAAAGGGAGACGGCGGCGAGAAGAGGGGCAAAGCTATTACTCTCCAAAGAGAGCCGTTTGTTAGTTAGAGACACTGCTTTAATCAGACACGCTGTGGCTGTTGACAAACATGATCGCGGGGGACGGAGTGTAAATTCCAATTCCGATCGACCGGTGGGGAAATACAAAGAGCGCCGCGCAGGAAAAGGAAAATTAGTGCTGCAAAAATCACAGCAGATTCCCTGGAAAAGAGGTTCTTACAGGACAAGTTTACCAGATACTGAGAAGCTGTGCATGATGAAGCTCAGAACTGGGCCCTCAGGAGGCGACTATGCATGACGGTAAACATGATGGTCCACGTGCAGTAAAGAGAACTAGTCTGTAATCTGAATATCTGATGAACCTAAATGCCTACTATGCTGAGTAAATGAAACACCAATTAACAAAGCTTGTCAGAAATGTTATTTTTAACGTCAATTCTTTCTTTCCTTTGGGGAGAAAACCTCTTAAAATCAAGACAAACGTCATCACAGATTTGATAATTCTGCAAATTAAAGGTACAGAAATGCACAAAAACACTGCTTCAGCTTAACAACAGCTACGTACTCTTTGTATAAATACACTTCATGCACTGGAGCGCTCCCTTCTCAAAGACAAACAGAGAGGAGAACCCTCAGCCACAGTGTGCGAAGCAAACATCACCCCTGTTAACATCAGAGGGTGAAAGCTGTCTGTGAAATCTGTCTGGATTTAAAGAATATCTGCAGAACAAAACTTGCACAAAAAAGGTCAGACTGGCAGAGAATGAGACATCTCAACAATTCCATGCGAGGGAAGGAGCCTAACTTTACAAATCCACTTCTATAGAAGAATGAGACAGTATAGCCGAGCGCCGTTCGCTTTGCTTTGCTTTGGACTACGAAATTCTATTAAGACGCAGCGGCACAAGTGAAAGCCCTGACGGCCGCAGCTGAGGCAAGTTAATCCTGCGAGTTGACTGTGTGCGGCTGAGGGCTTAGAGCGGCGGCTTAACACAAGGCCGCGGCTTCGACGCACCTGCCGGTGGTCAGTCATGCTTCAGCCGGCTGAGCAAAACACAATGTCATTATAGCACGTAGGTATTTACCACGCTGTGCCGAGACAACGTCCTCCTCAGCCTCCACTCCAATGCAGTTAAAATGCATTTGACTAAAGTGTGCAGGCTGAGGCAGGTGAACCCTCTGAACCCCTAAACCTGGAAAAAAAACAACAAAACAAACTACAAAACAAACTACACCATTTTACAGAAAGATTCTCAACTTTCCAGCTGTCCTTGAACAGATCGTGTGTGATGCACATTTCTGTTGGGAAAGCCTAAAACTATAACAATCCATAAACATAACCTTTAACTACGTGTCTCCTTTTTAAAAAATGACCATAAATAAACAATGTGCACTATGACATGCGCAGAAACTAAAACTCCTGCTAAGCTACGAGTGGCTAAGCTGCATGCAACGACCACGTGACGAAAACTCAGGAACGGTTTTGCTGAACTGCAGGGAAACGAATTAAAAACGTAAACAGTAAAATAGTGAAGTAGTCTGGTGACATCATGGGTAACAGCTGGCATCAATGCATGGCTTAATGCATGAATACTAATAATCTAGTGGAATAAAACATACTGTACTATGATGAAACAGGAGGCCACAGGAGACTTTTTTCGTACATATTAAAAACCTACATATACTTTGACATTACTTCACTTTCAATACAGGACTTTTGGCGATGTGGCACTTAAGGATCCAAGTTCTTCCTCCACTAAAGCACATCTGTCTCTCAACAACACTTGTGAATTAATTGCTGCAGTCACAGTAACCTGTTGCTATGAGGACAGGACGGTTACTTCAGTCGGCGGTAACGAACCACCACGAGCAGACAAAAACAGAGCTCCTGTTCATGTCAGTAAAACATCCGCCTGCGTTCTGCATGTGTGAAAAGCTGCTCAAACAGAAGGACGTCAGCAGCACAACCACAGAGCTACATTCAGTAACTCTGTTCTGGTTCCTTCAATACTTTACGACTTGTTAAATCTAACGATGGCAGAGTTCAGCGCCGTCCTTGTAAACTTTTGCTAAAATAACGTGACTGTCACAAAACAATCAGGCACTCGGTGCAGTTTACATGCAAATCAAGCGACTCGACAGCAGCTGAGCGGGTTACCGAAGAAAGATGCGACTGTTTTTATCGAGGCAAACACATCAGGAGACACACATGCGTTCAACTTGCACAGACAGATGGCAGTAAATATACAGTAGGCGTTGGGAGGACAGGGTTTATCTAAAACTAGCAGAAGTATATTTGTTTGTGAACATATAAGCAAAAATCCAAATGTCTTAGTGAATCTTAGGATTTTGGAACCGGTTCTTTTGCCTTTTCACTGTGCATTAAAGGACCAAGACTCTGACTGTTGTTCTCTGAACCTCGTGCAGGTCTACCTGTATATTCCTGCAGTCCATTCTTTGCTTGTACCTGAGTGCATGCGCGCACATATTCATATCTGCGTAGGTGTCTGCAGCTGTGTATGTGAAAAGTTAATTGTCCATATTTGCATGCAGTATAAAGCATCGGCAGGAGGCAGACCTGGCACATGCTCCCTCCCGCTGATTTGAGCTGTCAACCACATTTATTAACTATGATGAATCACCCCTCCACTTCACATCCAATCAAAGACCTCTCAGAGGGACTCCAATCTGGTCACCTTTAACTAAATGATTTTCTTGGCCCATGGTGCGACAGCCAGTGATTGGACTGGCAACCTGATGATATGGCTGCTGTTAGAATTATTCTGCCAATGGCCCACAGCTGGATCGCTCATTTCTGAAACAGTGCGGTGAATTAAGTGGCCAGCTGACATGTAGCTGCATGGGGAAGAAAGGTTTTAAAGAGGCCTGGTTGGAGTGAGGAAATATAAAAATAAAAGACATGAAACACAAAGGTGTTCTCCTGACCTTGCCGTAAGGATTTGGATTAAATCGGAACTAGGTGCATAATATAGTACACTTTACAATGCAAGCTGACAGCTACCGCTGAATCAGAATAATGTTTCTTCCACAGTGTGCGCGGATTTTCCTTAAGTCTTGCCTTTCCACCCAAACCTCCAACAATCCATCTACATTTAACTAAACACATACTCGCACATGCCACTGCACACGTTCTGCTGAAACAATCAACTGTACAGAGATGAGACAAGGTCAGTGCAAACACAAATCCCCAACAGGCCCAGTCCTTCTCTCCACGTGGAACTGTACACCTCCAACCTGGTTGAAGGATAAAGCTTTTGATCCCGGCCTGAACGGAAGCGCTCGGGCAGCATAGGAGGAGGGAACGGCGCAAAAAAAGAGAGCAATCAATAGATTCTTGTAGACACAGCCTCAAGTTTCCAATCTAACACAGCGCCGTATTGATTAGACTTCACAGCACAGCGACAGTAATGTCTGCAGTGGATTTGGGAGTCTTTAACAAAACAAACTACTGCGCAGGGGACCCAGCAATAACACCTATGGGGACAAATTTTTCTTATGCATTGCAAATAATGACATGCTGTAGATGAGCTCTCGTGTGATGACAGTCTGAGGATGTGCACCAGCAACATAATGTGTCAGCGTACTACAGAGAGCACAGACGGCAACGTTGTGGGCAAAATAAAGACAAATAGAGAGACGAGTGAGCTGCTCTCAAATGCGCTTTCTCAGTTTCCCCTCATCTCAAACTCAGCTGCACTGGAGCTTCAATATATATGCTAGAATGCTAACGATTAGCATGTGCCAGGTAATGCTGCTTTTCTTGCATGAAGCCACCCAAGAGAAAAGCAGAGGAATCCCTCAAGGTCATCACAATCTATTCTCCAGTGACATGTGCACCAAAAGCTGCGGCAACATTTGTGGAGATTTTCCACTCTGGACTCAATCCTACATGAGAGTCGTTCAGTTGTGCCGCTACGTTTTCTGAACTGGACTACCTTACAGACAGACTAAAACCTGCTGACACATGTCTGAAGTTCTCTGAGTATTTGTTTTTCAACCTTACAGATTCAGACAGAAAAGGACATCTGCAAATACACGCTGAGATCACAAT